CAATAGAGAGAGCTATGAACAACTTCATGATACTACCAATACAGAATGCTCATTCATAATATTTACAAGAAAGCTATAATGGAAATACAAATAGATGCCAAAACCAAATGTATACCAATCAACAGAGGAATTCGCCAGGGTGATGGTATCTTACCAAAGCTATTCAGACTTGGACTGGAAGACGTGTTCAAAGACATTAAAGAAATAACGTTGAACGACACAAATTTAGAAACAGTAAGCGAATACATCTACCTGGGACAGATAATGAAAGTTGACAAAGAAAATCAAACTGTCGAAATTACCAGAAGAGTAAGATTAACGTGGGCAGGATTTGGAAAACTGAGTTGGATCTTGAAAAACGCTAAAACAGAACAATATTTGAAAACCAGAATTTACGATCAGTGTATCCTCCCTATACTCAGGTATTGGTTCACAGACGTGGGCACTCATTAAGTCTAATATGGATAAAATAGTAAAAACACAAAGAGCGATGGAAATATCAATGTTCGGGATGAGACTTATAGACAGAAAAACAAACAAATGGATTAGAAGCAAAACCAAAGTAAAAGACGCAGGAAAACATGCTGCCAAATTAAAATGGAGCTTCGGAGGACACAATGCCCGACTGAAGGATAAGAGATGGAACCACGAAATACAACAATGGAGACCATGGTTAGAAAAGAGAAGCAGAGAAAGACCACAAATGAGATGATCTGATGTTTACCTTTTAATTGTGTTTTGTGTAGATGCTTTATAATATCCGTTATACATGTGAACAGACTGTGTGTTTATGAGAAATGTTTGTACCCCCAGTTTTGTATTCCATCTATTTCTAGGTTTTTCGTCATGTGTTTTCTTTGCTACCTGCTTGATTTCCTTCATTGTAATTTTTTTCTCTATTCTATTTTTGATGTGTTGGTACCTTCGTTGTTTTGTTTTTATCCGATGAGCTCCATTGTTATAAGAATTATAATATAATAAAATCATCTTTTATATTAATTATATTATTTAGGGTATAAGAAAATTTTTTGTTGTTTTTAAATAAGTTGTTTTGTTGTTTTCTAATATTTAATTCCTTATATCTGCGAAGTCTGTTTGAGTATACGGCGAGTTTTTCTCTAAGTTTGTCCATATTTCCATATATTAGTGTTTTATTATTTTGTTATATTTGGTGTATAGGTTTGAGTATTTTGCTTGATCAATTCCCTTTGTTGTATTGTATTTAAAAAAATTTGTTTAAAAAATCCTTTATAAAACGTATATAATTAGCCTTTCTGGCTACATCACAGAACGTATTCGGACTAACATGTCCACCATCAGTACATTTACCAGGTGTAGGTACATGAGTGAATCCACTAAATATGTGGATAAAAACTCTTTAAATGATATTAGCTTTGTTACTTATTACATCTTTGCTAAGAAATTTATATGGTGTTAAGGTTTTTTAACAGATATACTGCATGTCAGCGCAAGACTATTAATTGGGGGTTGCCGATCCTGAGACGTAGTATTTGTAAGCGCCCTAGATAGCAACTGATAAATACACCTGGTAAATGCACTGATGATGAACTTGTAAGTCCGAAAACGTTCTGTGATGTAGCCGGAAAGGATCTTTTTAATCATATATCTTTTTTAAATTGGCCCCACGTTGGGCGCCAATGTGTAACGATAAGACTACCAAAGAGAATTAACGTAATATCGTAAAAATAATACTTCAATCAACCATGGGAGCTTATCGTCTATACCTTGCCTAGTTTAGTATCTCAAGGGTGGGTTCGTCTTGTCTTGAAATAGGGATTGAACCTGAGTTCTCAGTTGATAGCAAATAAAACAAATTTTAACTAAACAAATTTATTTAAAAGAATAAAATAAAAACACAATAATTAACCCTGGCAAAGCTTAACAATTGATGTAATACTTATTGCTTTGTTCGATGGGCTATTTGTGTGCTCTAGCTGCTAGGTCCTCCAATTGAATGTTGTAGTTCTGGAGAGCTGCAGTTACATGTGGTCCTATGATCTGATTAAATTGTTCAATAGAAGTCCAATAAAGCCAACAACATTGTCAATATGCCAATAAATCCAATTAATAAATGCCAAATAAAATTGTTATTAAATTATTATTCCCAATAAACTAAAACAGAGAAGGAATAGGAACATTAGAGACACATCAAGAAGAGTTTAACTTCCTTGTCATCTTACAACGTTACAATTAAACAAATAGCATATGGCAAGGATAAAATGAGATATGATTGTTACTATGATTGTTAGTTAAATTCTATTAAAGAGTCCTAATGCATATATAAAAAAAAACAATGTGCTTTAGAAAGAAAGTAAGGCTACACATATCGGAAATGCGGTCAGAGCTATAGAATAAATATCACAATGAAAGCACTTACCCTAAGAGAATTTGTAGACCATAAGATAAGTCTAATTATAATTTTTGCCTTCTTTTATAAAGATCAAAGAGGCAAAAAATAATATTCCCACCACATTAGAATATTTAACTGACAGAAAGTGGGAAACTAAAATGAAGTTAGCACAGATGTCACAGGATGTTGCTATTTCATGAAACTAGCTTGTCTGTCAACACAGAACACAAAGAGAGGACGAATATTTATTCTACGTGACAGAAAGAGAGAGTAAATAATGGCAGAGGAAGAAATAAAAACAGGGGAAGAAATATAGCGGAACAGAGAGGGCGCCAACTATTTTTTAAATAAAAAAAAATAGTAAAAAGTAACTGAAGATAAACAAATTAACAAATTACTAAAGAAATTAAAATGAAATAATTATTTAAATATAAATTAATAGAGATGTGACGTTTATAACGTTACATGTTTTTAATTTTTTTATTAGAATTTTTGCGATTTCTGGTATAGAGTCAATTACATTAATTTTATTATCCTTGTGGATTCCTTCTATTTGTTTTCATATTGTTGTTATGTTATTATCTAGTCCTACTTCCCATTCTGGTTTTCTTATTCTTCGATTATTATTTTTGTATTGTGTTTGAGTTTATTTCTCTGTACTTGGCGTTCGTTTTGTTGTATTTAACACACAAAATATAGGTGTTAGGTAGTCTATCAATAGATGTTATGCGCCTAGTACGTTTATTATCTAGTATGAGATCCAGTCTATATTGTGCCACTGGTTGGTCTATGAGCACAGTGCGGTCCCTGTACAGTATAGCTTATAGTTGTCATTTTCAAGCAGTTGTCAGGTTTGGAAAAGTTCCAGTTTGTCAGTTATTTCTTGATGGATAATCTTTCCTACTGAGTTAGTGCGTTCTTTATAATCAATACCAAAAAACGCCTAGCAGCCCCTGGTAAGATGTTGGATGGTTTCTTGTGCTTGGCATCCATATCGTCATTTGTCATTTTGGACTTGAGGATCTTTAACAATATACTTTAGAAAATTTTTAGTTGTTTTAGTTTTGTGTTTAATCCAGAATGGCAAGTAGGATAACCTCAGTCTCGAAAACTATCTTTTTTGATGTCAATCAATAGTTTGATGCTATATTGTCGACATATTCTTGGCTGATCTTATTGAGATGTCGCCAATGCAGAGGTTTACTCATTAGTCTAGACGGGAGCTGTTTTGGATTGGACATTTTCCATAGGAAGCTATTTTTTGCTGGAATCATTAAAATAATGTCATTATTATGATAAAACTGCAGAAATTAATTATTTTAAAAAGTTTGATTTCTACAACAAAAAAAAAAGGTTTCGTTCGCCTTTGTTTTAACAATTCAAATTATTTATTAACAATTTATAAATACATATTTGTTTACTAAAAGTAACAATATATAATAACAGTAATAATTTGAATTGTAAAAATAAAGGCGAACGATTTTTTTTTTTTTTGTAAAAATCAAACTTTTTAAAATAATTAATTTCTGCAGTTTTATCATAATAATGACATTATTTGATTTGAGAATATATTTTGATTTGAAACTGATAGGTTTAAAGCTCGTAAAGTTATTCAATTTGTTCGTAAGCCTAAAAAATTTTTAAAACTGTAAATTTTCTATTCTCTCCTAGTGAACCGATTTGAATTTTACTAAAAGCGTTTGGAAGTTTGAGCTTCCTTTATATGTAAAAAAAATTACAACTATCTGAGGGCCTTATTTAGGGCCTACTATAAATTTGAAAATTTGCGATTTTTTTTTTCAGTAGGCTGGATTGCAAAATAATTATTATGCCAAACCTATCCGACCGATAGTAAAAAAAATTAGCACACGTGTTAAACATATTAAAAAGTTTTTCTAGGCGTAATATGGAGCTCGTAAGTCAAGTTTAAAAAGTCGAAAACATTTAAAGGAATAACTTAATTTTTTTGTACATTTTTTTCCAATTATTGCTATTTTTTCAACAATAAACATTAAATTTTCAATTTCTAGCTAACGACATATTATGTAAAATTGAATAACGAATCTTTTAACTTCTTATAATTTTTTCTCTAGGATCAATATTTTCCGAATTATAAACGAAAATAGGACCAAAAAAATGAGAAATTTTCAATTGTTTTCAGATTCTGTTAAATAAAAAATTTAGCACAGGGTTTGCGACTGGCGCATATACTGATTATCGATATTGGGCCCATCCTGAAGGGATTCCAGCAAAAAAAAAAGCTTCCTAGTCAGGTGGTTTATGCGCATTTCATATTCCTTAAATTTAAGCGTCGTTGCAAATCTACTGTGCAAATTGCTCGATGTTAGTATTTTATTATTATTACATTATTCTGCTTATTATTTCGAGGTATTTGAAATAATATAAAATTCATCCATTTTTTTTATACAACAGTAATATCTAAAACACTTTTTTAATAGGGACACTTTTTTGGGTGGAAAGATTTTTTAAAAATAACAAAATATATACTTGTATACTTATTTATTTAACATATAAGTACATATAAAAAATAACAATTGGCAATAGAAAAAGAGATTTATAAATAATATAAAAATAACAACTTAAGTTATTTATTTTATTAAATAATCGGTTAAAGATTAATATTTGCACTTGGTACTTGGTACACTCCCAAAATGATGTTGACTGGTTTAACCTAAAACAAATAAAGCAAAAGAATTAACAAAATATGTAACATGCAACTCTTAGCAGCTTAAACAAAATCAAATGAAAACATATTATTAGCCAGATTTAGCCACACGGTTCACACTCCCTCTAAGGTGAAAATGCTGTTTCATGTTTTCTAGGAGATGTTTGGGAATAACACCAGTAGTAGATAGAATAATAGGTACTATTCTGAATTGCATTTCTAGATCTTTGTACTTGACGATCTTTTCGTTGTATTTAACAGGCAAATTATTGGTGTTGGGTATCGCCACATCAATAACCCAGACAGAACAAGTACGTCCCATGGACGTCCGAAGGATGTACCTAATTAAATGTCCGGATATCCCACGGACATCCGTTTACTTAATTTGGACGTCCCCGGGACGTCCTAAAAGCTAATGTTTCTAAGTAATATAAGGGATGCTTGACGACAGGTTGTCGAATATACATGCCATACTTTCCATACGTTGAACTACTACACCGTTTACTGTCGCTGGACGATAAATTACGGTGTTTTGCAACAACCATCTAACCCACATTTGTTTACAAATGAGGTTAGACGTGTCAAACTGTCGATCATAATGCATACTATATCAGGCAGAAATTCTTCCCAGACAGCACAAGACATCTCTGGGACCTCTATTTTATGACATTTTAAGGTCCAAACGTCCCGAACTTCTTTTGGACGTCCAAGGGATATTTCAAGTCGGACATACCAGCACCAAAAGAATTTAAGGATGATACTGGGCCTGACATTATACGAGAAGAAATTGAATATGCAATGAAACAAGCTAAAGGTGGTAAATCTCCTGGGCGTGATGAAGTTCCTATCGAATTACTTAAAATTGTGAATACTGAATCTATTGATCTTTTTTTGGATCTATTCAATACCATATGTAGAACAGGTATAATACCTAAAGAATGGCTCCAATCAACATTCATACTGCTTCCCAAAAAAGCCAATGCAAAGGAGTGCAATGAACATCGCACCATAGCCTTAATGAGTCATGTCTTGAAATTGTTTTTAAAAGTAATTCACAATAGAATACATAAGAAATTAGATGAAGGCATAAGTAATACACAAATAGGATTTAGGAAAGGACTGAGAACACGAGATGCACTGTTTGCAGTAAGTGTTCTTTCGCAGAGATGCTTAGATATTAATCAGGAAGTATATGCCTGTTTCATTGATTTTGAGAAGGCATTTGACAGAGTGCAGCATAATCGACTTAAAGAAATTTTATTAAATAAAAACATAGACAGTAGAGACATTAGAATCATCTGTAACCTCTATTGGAATCAAACAGCAAAAGTGAAAGTTGAAAACGAACTGACCAAGGATATCCAGATTCGCCGTGGGGTCCGCCAAGGGTGTATTTTATCACCCTTGTTATTCAATTTATACAGTGAAGCCATCTCAGAATTAGCGCTTGCCGAGATCAGTGAGGGCCTTATAATAAACGGTGAGCCACTTAATAACATAAGATATGCTGACGACACCGTCCTTCTGGCAGGAACACTAAAAGAACTGCAACACCTTGCTGAACAACTAAATATATATATTGCAACGATTATGGACTAAAAATCAATTTGAAGAAAACCAAGTTCATGGTATTTACAAAAGCACAAAACATCAAAGTTAAGCTAGTACTAGATAATACAGAAATTGAACAAATATCTTCGTACAAATACCTTGGAGCATGGATCACAGAAGATACTGATCAGACAAAAGAAATAAGATGCCGCATTGAAATTGCGCGGTCAACTTTTAATAGAATGAGAAAACTTTTTTATAATCTTGATATCAATATATCGCTCCGGATAAGAATGCTTCGATGTTATATTTTCTCTACCCTTTTGTATGGAGTTGAAGCTTGAACACTTAAAAAATCCAACATTAAAAACCTAGAAGCATTCGAAATGTGGTGTTACCGACGCATTTTGAAAATATCAAGAATGGATCGCAAAACAAACGAACAAGTTCTCGAACAACTAGGAAAACAATGCGAAGTTTTAAATTCCATAAAAATCAGGAAATTGGAATACTTGGGCACATCATGAGAGGTGAAAAGTACGAACTACTAAGAAATATAATGCAGGGTAAAATCAAAGGTAGAAGAAGCGTATGAAGACGTAAAATCTCGTGGCTACGCAATCTCCGTGAGTGGTTTGGATGCAGTTCAATTGAACTATTCAGGCGAGCAACCAATAAAATTATAATTGCCAGAATGATTTCCAATCTCCGATAGGAGTGGAACTTGAAGAAGAAGAATACCAGGGACGTCCCATAAGGTCGTCCGAGGGACGTCCCATTAGGGATGTATTAGGGATGGTTTCTAGATCTTAACTGTGTCATTTTTTTACTTAAGCATATTTTTTACAAAATATAATCTTACTACTAAACTTTATTTTAAAAAGTTATATTTAGTTTTAAATACCATTAACTTATACGAAAACAGACAGAGGCCCCTTTTAGAGAAAAATCCTTATATAGCAGGGCTGTATCTCTAAAATTTTGTTCTGTAGTGGAACTGAAATTTAAAAATTAGAAGATGAAAGAAGAATGTGGTTATGTTTTAACGACGTTTCTATTTATCTCCTTTATTTCTCGAATTATAATCATTGTGGTTGTGGTTGTAACCAGTTGTAACCAGTGGTTGTAACCAGTTAAGTAAACTTAACAGTCGGGAAACAAAATAACTCAAAAGTACCTAGTGATGATAACAGTAATTTAGCAGACAAATTTAACCGCCATTTTGTTGAAATGGCTCCAAAGTTACTTGCCGCTTTGGATCCTACTAAAATAGATGGATTTACATCAGCATCAAAAAACCGTAATAGTTCTTCTATGTTTTTATATCCAACTAACCCACAGGAAATAACTAGTATAGTCGGAAGTTTTAAATCCAAACACAGTTGTGGTTTTGATCAGATTTCCCCTAAGTTATTAAAACAATGCATTCATGCTCTCGCAGATCCACTAACGGATATTTGTAATGCCTCTTTTCAACAAGGAATATCTCCTAGTATGTTTAAACTATCTATTGTAATCCCTTTATTCAAAAGTGGTGATAAAGATGACCTTAACAACTATCGTCACATAAGTCTCTTATCTGTGTTTTCAAAGATAATTGAAACTCTAGTTTATACTATAATCAACGGATATCTGAAAATGCATAGTGTCTTGCATAATTTTCAACATGGTTTTACATCTTCTAAGTCTACAACTACAGCTCTTGCAAATTTCGTCAGCTTAGTGTTGGATGCTTTGGACAGACGAGAGAAGGCATGTGGTTTATTTCTCGATTTGTTTAAGGCTTTTGACACTTTGGATCATAATTTGTTGCTAATAAAACTTGAGGGGATTGGTATTCGTGGTATAGTTCTAAAATGGTTTACTTCCTACCTAAAGAATAGAAGACAAAAAGTAAAGATAACATCTAATGGACTTGTAAACGAATCAAACACATTGGATATCCATTATGGTATCCCTCAGGGTAGTGTATTGGGTCCTCTACTTTTTATAGTATTTATTAATGATATAACTTTGGTAACTAATTCACTGACTGGAGTTAACATTATCAGTTATGCGGATGATACCAACATTCTAGTCACAGGAACGTCTGATCAAAATTTGCAAAATAAAACTTCACAGATACTATCCACCATCAAAAGTTATTTCTTATCCAACAAATTAGTTTTGAATGAAGAAAAATCAAAGTATATGATTTTCACGTCAAATAATTTATTAAACCATCAAGCTACTATAGAAGCAGCAATAGATAAAACAGACTGCACGAAGTTGCTGGGGGTACTTCTAGACAGTAATTGTAAATGGTCAAACCACATTTCTAATTTGAAATCCAGATTAAGTAGCGCATTTTATGCATTAAGAATTCTTTCTTAACGTTAACGTTTCTTTCATACATCAATATTAAAAACAGTATACTTTGCCAATTTTTACCCAATAGCCAAATATGGCATTGAAGTCTGGGGTTGTACCTCTGAATTAGAGCAGATATTCGTACTTCAGAAAAGAGCTATTAGGATAATGTATAAAATGAAATTTAGAGATTCTTGTAGAGGCATCTTTAGACAAAACAATATTCTGACAATTCCTGGTCTGTATATATTTTCGTGTATAATGTATTTGCATAGCAAAATTTATGAATTTAATAAATTTCAATTTGACCATGTTTATTCAACAAGATTCAGGGACAATCACTTTATGCTTCCACAACATCGTTCTCTTTTGTTAGAAGGTAGCACACATTATGCAGCCATAAGTTTCTTTAACAAATTACCAATAGATATACGAATGAATTTACATCAGCCAAACTTTCGGAGGTGTGTACATCAATACATTTGTGAGCTAGAGCCATATTCTAAAAATATTTTTTAAGTATGTTTTATCGTGTTTAATTAATTTATATAATTTTAAGATTTGTGTCTGTATATTTGACTTGGCTCATACATGTACTTTGTATAATGTCGCATGTGATCAATAAATTTGACTTGAGTTGACTTTGTTGTAATTAGAATTAGTTTATTGCTTTCGATACTATTAGTTTATAGTTTGGTAATTTATTATTATAGACATTAAGTAGATATATAGGACTTTTATAAGTAATTTTTGTGGTTGTGATGTGTTGCTACATTTGTAAAGTAAGTAGGAGTAATGTGCTTAAAAAATACTATAAATTTAAATACATAATATGTTAATATAAGTACACAATAAAAATCCCATTTATTTTTGCTTTTCATTTTATGTAATAGTTTTTTGTAATTTTCCTTTAGGTCCTGTATACATCCTCATTTAGGTCCTGTATTAGTCCATGGGATGCAATGCATCAAGTAAGCGATTTAAAAAAGCAATATCTATTAAATAAAAAGCACTTAATATGAAAAAATTTACCTTAATAGGATAACTAACTAAAAATAAAAATAAAAAATTACCGTAAGTGTTGTTGGACATTCCTTCAACACCGTTAATTTTTTCCTGATTAATATTAATCATTATTCGATTTCCTGCTTTTGACGTCATCTCGTAATCTTCGGTGAGGTCGTTGGTAGATTTTGCAAATTCCTTTGCTAAGTTACTAACAGATATACGAACTGTTCCGTTGCTTTGAGCCCTTATTTGTGGTGTGTTCAATAGATCATCCTAAAAAGATATTTAATAACTTAATAATAATTATTACACAAATTATTTATTGACTAATTTATAAGTTGCTTAGCTATATTTAAGAAAATTGCTTTATATTTAACTAATATGCTCTCCTGATACTAAATGTTTAACCCGGTATCTGGTTTTGATGCTCTCAGGCAACATCGTTTTTATAAGCCCCTAAATCAATTTCTACTATATATAGCCGTTATCTGAGAATGATAATTGTAAGCAACAAGTCGTGTTAGTTATATAAAACTTGTGGCGACATCTAACATTCACTAGAGATATTTGAAAAAAATAATTTTACTACAGAGGATACCAGTAGAGATCTACGTGTATGTGGGTGTGTCATAATTTTTATTACCAAACGTTTGTTAGGAGTATTCTGAGGTTGGATTTTTACTTGGTATATAAACAAAGGTTGTTTGAGTGTAATTCTCTGTTATTTCTTGCTGTATACGGTAAGTAATCATATTATTTTGTTGAATAAAAATCATGTGGCTCTCAAGCAACATTATCAGTTGACTAATTGAGTTTTTTTTCAGTATAAGATTTCACTATGGAAAATTTAAATGAAATATCAACTACATCCTTTTATGGAAAAAAGACGAAAATGTCGTGTATTGTTCCTGTCAACCCTAATCTCTCTAATTTGTCTGACACGGAGGAGTATGATGAAGAAATTGAAAACATCAATGTAAATGAAATTACCGTAGAATCAGATGAAAATGATGAACCTCATAATCATCAACTGCTAACTGAAGAGGAGGCTAATCAAACGAATGAAGAAGACGAGCATGAAGAACCACTAAGAAAACGTAAAAAAGTAGTGGAGTCAGTATATTATAACTGGTCTGAAAGTGACATAGAAACCATTCCTTCATAAAATCCAACTATAGACAATAATGCAGTAGAGGTAGCCTTGTCGCTTGAGTATTTTACGAGGTTTTTTTCACTAAATCTAATAGAGAATATTGTATACCAGACGAATTTATACAGTACGCGAAAAACTGGGGTAAGTGTCAACACAAATACTTCCGAAATAACAGACTTTTTCTCCATTTTGATTTTTATGGGGGTAATAGAAGATTATTGGGTCACTTTTTCAAGAATTCCTCTTGTTGCTGATGTTATGTCCCTAAAAAAATTTCAAAAACTGAGAACAATGATCCATTTCAATGATAATTTGGAAGCAACTTCAGAAACGAAAGACCGCTATTTCAAAATTCGTCCAGTTTTAGATCATATTTCTACAAATTGTTATAAGTATCAGTTCGAAAACCAATATTCTATAGATGAGTCTATGGTTGCCTACAAAGGTACATACGGTGGCAATTTACGAAAATACATACAAAATAAGCCTCATAAATGGGGTTACAAGTTCTTTGTAAGGGCAGGTGTTTCTGCCGATTTCATTCCTTACCAAGGAGCTTCGACGTTTTCACAACTACAGGGAACTATCAATCAGATTTCTGAAGAAGAACAATCTTTGGGTGTCGGTGCAGCTTCAGTGATTGCACTATGTAAAACATTAGAGGCTCCCCAGAATTCAATGATTTTTTGTGACAATTGGTTTTCCAGTTTGAGATTATTTAATTACTTGAAGAAGAAGTATAATATCCTTAGCTTGGGCACTATTCGCTCAAATAGAATAGCAGGTTGCATCTTGGATACTGATAAGGTTTTGCTAAAACGTGGCAGGGGTTCCTATGTTTATAAATGCGATGAACAAAAGAATATTATAGTTGTAAAATGGGCAGATAACAAATGTGTACTTCTGGCTAGTACTGGTTGTGAGATTGAGCCAGTCAATCACGTACAAAGGTATTCTAAAGAACATAAAAGAAAAGTAAATGTGCCATGCCCAAATCTAATCACTCAATATAATAAACACATGGGTGGAGTGGATAAAGCTAACTCTTTATTGGGTCTCTACAGAAGTCCAAGTCGTAGTAAAAGATCGTATTTTCCAATAGTTACCTGGCTCTTAGATGTCTGTATTATAAATGCATGGATATTACATCAAAATGACAGTAAAGCCAATAATATAAATTTTATGTCTCTCAAGAAGTTTAGAATGGAATGGTTTAGGTCGTTGTCCAATACTGGAAAGCACAAAGTAAAGCGAGGCCGTCCATCAAGTATGGAAAATACAGATAACATTATTCGCCATCCTCTTACTGTAAGACCTGATGATGCTACCAGAAGAGATGCGTTAGGTCACTGACCACTTTATACCGCTAAAGGAAGATGCAGATTTTGTAAAACTGGCTATACAACTGTGCAGTGTGAAAAATGTAACATGCGGCTTTGTTTTACACCGAACAAAAATTGTTTTTTATCATTTCACCGTTAGAATTAGGCCTATATTTATAATTTTTTAGTATTAGGCACTCTATTATAAGTTAATTTTTTTATTAAATAAATAAAATGTCCTTTAGTTAAACAGTTCTTTATTTATGATTAACAAAATTTTGAGTTCTTCATTAGCGAAGTTAGTAACAAATAGTGTTTCTTGACTGCCAATGTTGCTTCTAGGCAACGGATTCAAAAACCACTTTCCCCTGTCTCCTTTCGGTTTTTTTGTACCTCAGGGTGTTATTGAGTGTTATATGAGATTATGTATACAATAAAATAATTTTTCGACATCTATTTTTGGTGTTGCCAGATACCGGGTTAATAAAGTTGACACAATAAGTATTTTGGTACTTGGGCTGTTTAAAATAAAGCAAAAAAATATTAAAATTACCATTACAACCATTACAAACTTTCTGTAGATTTTCTATATTTAATGTTAGTTTTTAAATAGCAATATAGAGTCTTGAAAATATATCACTAAAGAAAACAGATAATTAAAAAGTAAGTTCTTACCATTGATTCCGTTCTTTTTCTTAAATTTGACTTGTTCAATGTTTGTGACAATTCATAAGCCAAATTTCCTGGTCCATTCCCAACGCTATTTCTCCCCAGAGTTCCGTTCTTCAAAAAATCCAATTTCCTGGGGGGACTTCTCACTGCAGCATACTCCCCAATACTAATATTTACAGATTTGGGCCTTTCTTTTCCAGCTGATGACGCAACTGATCCATTAGACAACTTAGAGCATAAATCCCGCTTCTGGAAATATGTACCAGGTGGTTTTGGTGTCACATGGTTCGGATTGTGCATTTTGAATGATTCCAACGAGTCCATTTCTACAGATTCGTTGATGTGTGCAGGTTTAATGGTAGAGGAAGTAGAAGACAAACTTAATGTATCATAATCTGGAGTCGGGCAAGGAGGAGGTTGATAGCAAGAAAGCACGGAACGTTTGATGGGAACAGGTGGGGCTTTGGGTTTTATTTTGGGAGCTGTAGGGGTACTGGAATTGACTAAAGGTGACTGAATTGTAGGAGGAGCAAGAATCTGTGATGGAGGCTGTAAAACAATTATATCATTATACTTGAAACAATATAGGAAAATATTTTCATCAAAATTACTTACAGGTGGTGGTGGTGGAGGTGGTGAAGAAACCTCTTGAGGTCTATTGTTTTCATTACTGGCTAAGTTGAGCAAACGATCTGATAGTTTTTGAGACAATTCCTTGTGGGCAAGTCTCTCCTGAAAATGTATATATTATATTAGACTACTAGATATACTAGTTATTGGAAGAGGTTAAAAGGGCAATCAAATTGCAGAAAAATAATAAGGCCCCAAAATATGAGGGAATATGCGCAGAATTGTTTAGAGGGAAGGGAAATAACGCAACGGATATATATGAGGTCCTACACAGAATATGAAGAGTGAAGAAAATCTAGAAGAGTGGAATCAGAATATCATCTGCCCAATATGTAAAAAGGAAACAAACGTCTCTGTCCAAACTATAGAGCAATCTCCTTGCTGTGTTGTTGATATAAAATATTTACCAGTATACTTAACTCCTGACTAAAACCCTTCACAGAAAAGATCATCGGAAAATATCCGGCAGGAATTATACAAGGAAGATTAATCATCAATAATGGATATAGTGGCTTCAGTACAGATACAACGTGAGATGGAAGATCAATTTCAAATAACACAAGGATTAAAACAGGATTTAAAACTTTAATATATACAAAATATATCAGGATCCGGATTTCGTGACATATATTAAAACAAGGCGGCTGCGTTGGATGGGACGTGTGAAAGGAATAACAGAAGGCGAAATATCAAACAAAATATGCAAAAAAGTACCAGTAGGACAAAGAACAAGGGGAGGATGAAAGCTGAAATACATCGAATAATTAGAACTTGATACAACTTTAAAAATAAAAAAAAAATTGAAAAAGAATTCACGAAACACAATAAGATCAGAAATGAGAAGAATCCTGGATCAGACTATATCTGAGTTCTTACAAAATACATAAATTTTGTTTCACTCATTAAAAGTACAATTTTAATCGTAACATTAGATCGTAGATGTGATCTAGCAAAAGTTGCCACAGCAAAAATGAGCAAAATATGGAAGGACTGTCAAATTTCAAAAGCGATAAAGATGAGGTTGATCAACTGCTTAATATTCCCAATACTGACCTACGGATGTGAATTTTGGACTCTGAGACAATCGGAGAGAAAAAAGATAGACGCCACTGAAATGTTCTATTGAAGACGAATGTTACGAATTCCTTGGACCGACCGTAACAACTAATTCAATTTTAAGAGAGCTAAAAGTTAGCCAACGACTCTCTAGTAAAGTCCATCTCCAACAATTAAAATATTTTGGGCATGTTATGAGAGCAAACACAGAAAACATGGAAAGACTCATAATACAAGGAAAGGTAGAAGGCCGAAGATCACGAGGCAGATCCCCAACAAGATGGATAGGTCAAATTACAGGAATATGCCAAAGACCTATGCATGAATTAAAAGAAATGACCAGAGACAGAGATCTCTGGAGACGGACAATACACGACATCACGTCGACCACTACACTCCCCCTGGGGGTCAGGATTGAAGAGAGAGAGAATCGTAACATGGTATGGTATGGTAATCGTGCTGTTATATGGTTTTAAAACTTACCAAAGTATCTTTCCCTAAGGCGGAATTAGATTTTGTACAATCGAGACTAGAGGTTTTGAACATTTTTTGATGAGCTTGTTTAAATTCGTTCATGAGTTTGGTGTGCTGAAACTGTTGGTCAGAACTAAGTCCTCTAAGTAACTTTTTTTTCTGTAATTGTTCATCAATCGATGTGTCTTCTGGTGGTTTAGTTGCTTTTTTCTGTAATACAAAAATCCGTAAATACCTTATACAAATCACCTTTACTAAATTTAAAAAGATGACTAACGAATTTCCAATATGTCTGTATTATTACTAATATTTGTAATTTTATTGGCACCGTTAATCAATCAGTTTAAAAGGATAGATATCTCGATTATGCTAACATTTTCTACAACGGGATAACCTATACAAATACATTCAAAGAATATATGTGTATAAATTTGTATTAGACCAATGTTTCCAAAAATTTCTTACATCGGGGACCCCTTTTGACAAAAAAATTAGTTGGCGACTCCCAATTGTCATACCCAGTTTATTTGCCATTTAATAACATTGACAAATCAAAGCGAATGTCTAATCAAAGAATATAGTTGTCTAAGCGTCTATATTCTTTGGTCTAAGATTTGGTAAAGTCGTTTAATAGAAAAAAATGTTTTTACTTGCGCCATCTATGAGCCAGTTACACAATTTCCTTGTTCTTGCGTTTTCTTTCTGTATTTAACCAAGAGAGGGCGCAATATTAGTGCCTAGATTTTTCTTGTGTACGTTTTCTCCTCTTTACTACTTTATTAGACATGGATCAATTTTTAAAATAATCATTAGAAACGTCTACGTCTGGAAACAAAAATAATAAAAGGAAAATACTAGGTGGTCTCATAAGTAACCCCTTTTGAAATTAAAAACATGTTTTTCCAGTTTTTTTTTATTTGATATTATTTACTTTTAACTCAATACAAGCATTTCATCATCATCATCATCCAGCCTCAAGAGTCCACTGCTGAACATAGGCCTCTTCCTCATGTTTCCAACCCCGTCTATCTTGCGCCGCTCTTATCCAGTTTTTATTGAGTTTTCTTAAATCGTCAGTTCATCTTGTAGGTGGTCGACCGACGCTTCTCTTGTCTTCCCTTGGCCTCCATTCCAATAACCTCGTTGTCCATCGCCCATCTGTCATTCTGGCTATGTGTCCTGTCCATCTCCATTTTAGTCTGGTTATCTTCTCGATGATGTCAGTCACTCCGGTTCTTCTCCTGATGTCTTCGTTGGTTATTATGTCTCGCAGAGTCATTCCTAACATGGACCGCTAAATTCTTCTCTGCGTGACTCTCAGTTTGGTAGCTACTGCTTTTGTTAAGGTAAGTGTTTCTGCTCCGTACATCAAGACTGGAAAGACACACTGATCAAATACCTTTCTCTTTAGGCATGTGGGCAGCTCACTTTTAAAAGTTTCTCTCAGTTTTCCAAATGCTGCCCACCCAAGGCCGATTCTTCTCTTCAGTTCATGAGTTTGGTTATCCCTGCCAATCATAATTTCATGTTCCAGGTATTTATATCTATCTACGAGTTCTATTTCTTTCCTACCAATACTGATGTTCTGGTTGGGTACCAAATTGGTCATGATTTTTATTTTCGAGATATTTATATTTAAACCTACATTTTCTGTAGCCACAATTTTTAGTGCTTCTGATACTATTCTATCTTCACCCGGGGTTCGATTATTTTTCATTTTCTTCAGGGCTTCTTTGATTTCTGATTTTGTTATATAGGGCATTAAATCTGATCCTTGGTTTAATACCCCAGTTTTTAGTGTAATTGGAGATTCCGTATTGTTCTTTTTTTTTCTTGATCTATATAACTCTGTATAGAACTCTTCGACTATTCTTAATATTTCATCTCTGTTCGTTGTTTCTTCTCCAGTTCTGTTTCTCAGTTTGTTAATTTCTATTTTCCCCTTTTGTACGCTCCTCTTCAAAACTTTTATGTTCTTATTTTGCTCTATTGCCTGTTTTGTTTTTTCTACATTGTAGTTTCTTATGTCTTTTCTTATTGCCTTTGTGATCATCTTATTTATTTGATTTATCGCTTCTTTGCTTATAGTGTTATCTCCTTTCATTTGTCGCCTTAGTTCTATAAGGGTTTTCGTATTGACTCAGTTTTTCATCTTTTTTGCTTGTCGAACAATATTTAGTTTGAGCCTGTTGCATTTTGTTGACCATTTGTTTGTTCAAGATATTAATGTCTGCTGTTGTTGTATCTTTCAATGAATTACCAATATATTTTTCGAACTCCTGAATGTTAGTTGGTTTTGTCCATTTCTTTGGTTGTTTCTTATTCATCATTTTGACTCTTTCTTTTTCGGTTGATATCATTATTTTAGCTCTTACTAAACTATGATCACTGCTTGTACTGAACTGGTTTAGCACATTTACATCTTTAAATAGTTCTTTTTGTTTGTTAAGCAATAGTCGATTTCGTTCCTTGTTTTTCCATCAGGACTTTCCCATGTCCATCTTCTGTGATTTTTCTTTTTAAAGAAGCTGTTAATTTGATATTGTTTTACAAAAGGAAAGTCAGTAGTTGTTTGCCTCTATCATTTCTGCTTTCGCTTCCAAAATTTTCCAATATTATTTCAGAGGGGTCTTCCTTAGTGCCTATTTTGGCGTTGAAATCACCATCTATAATTAAGAAGTGGCCAGGATTTTCCTTGATGGCACAGGATATTTGGTCGTAGAATATTTGGACTTCTTCGTCTGGATGTCCTGTAGTAGGGGCGTACACTTGTTCACAATTATCTCAGCTACATTTTTTATTTGAAACGTTTTTTTCTATAACAACCAGATTCTTGGTAAATCGATTTTTTCCGTTTTCCCCCCATACGAGGGGGTTTTTTAGAGAAAAACCCGCAGGTAAAAGTGATAAACTTTTTTGCATCTTCTTTGAAGTCACAAAAATTGACATTCTTAGCAAAATTCAGCTTGTTCGTATGATTTTTAAAGGTTTAGTGGCATTTTTGTCTCTGCGTACGAGAGTAATGGGTAAGTGAAATTAAAAATATAGAACAAATTGGAAGTATGTAAAAATGAATGAATAAGGTTAGAAGAATCTTATGTCCAAAAATTGACGATATAAGGTAAAGAAAAAAAGAAGAAGATAAACTTAAAATATATTTCTAATTGTAATATATTAGATTGCTTCTCATGAGGGCTCTTTGACTCTGTCAACTCTTCTCCATGCTCCCTTGCTATATATCACGCAAGCAGCTGATAAATTGACTAAACTGTTGATTAATGTGCCCATTAAAATTGCTATAAAGAACACTAAAACTATTAAAAACTTATTTTCCTAGTCTAAAACATACATGTTTTGGACAATACTAGAGTCTACACGACTATACAAAAACAAATCAATGATTTCGTCAAATTGGCTGTTCTTTTAAAGATCATAACTTTTAACAAAATTGAATCCTTATTTTCGCTATATGCATTTGTTGTTCTTCTCTTCTTTCTTTTTGAGTGTAAAGCATTCAGTCTCATACGCCATTGCCGATCTTACGACAGTTTTGCAGAATTAACACTTCAGTTTCATTAGAATCTTACAATACTCAACAATATAAGACATCATACAATTTGCACAGTTTGGATGGTGTTTGTAAATGTAGCGGATGTGTCTGTACACTGTAGAAATTGATTTTAGTTAAAAATTGTTTTATCCCGCGTTTTTTCTGTTAAATATCATAACTACGTAAGCTGGACTAGCTATTCTGATCACTTTCCTTGTAGGCACCTTGTATAAAACTATACCGATGAACAACCGGAGCACGCGTACAATAATTGGGGTAAATCAACATCACTCGCACAAACGTATATGCACACACAGCATAGGTGCGAGTAAATTGGCTAAGTAAAGTCAGTTCGCGCCTTTACCCTGTAGTTTTGTTGTTATATGATCCAACAATAACGAAAACAAATAAAAACTAAGTAACGAGCCTTGCTGCAATCCTACTTACACCAAAAAGTCTCTTCCATACCTGTCCTATACTAATTATTACTCTCACATATACGTCTTTCACAATCTTCACATACTAACCAAGAACTTCTTTCTCATTGAGCGCCCAGCACGGAATCTTTCGAGGAACTCTTTATAAACTTTCTTAAAATCATATCTGTCGAGTAACTGCTTAATATGTTTATTTAAAAAATTCCGTAATCAACGCATCGTCTCTCCAGCTGAGGGCTGGTGTGAGGCAATTAAATTGTACGACTTTTTCGTCTGGGAATGTAGGGAGTATCGAATCTTCATATTATTAATGTTATAATTGCGTACATATAGACAGTCGAATTTATACCACCGAGGCAAACTGTATTAAATAAAATTTTAAAGTCACATTTGTGTATTTTTACATAAGCAATTTTTTTGTAATAGAAATTTAATTTTGTATTTTTTCGAACCAGGAATCTCTTGCGAAAAGTAGACCTAACCGGAGACATTCCTAACGTTTGTTTTTTTATTCCTGTATTGGGAATAATATAAAAAGATCTCTAAGCTCACTTTAGGTAAAGGTAGAAAAAACGGAATTTAAATGTTTAGTTTATAAAACGCATCAACCCAAATTTGTCACCAAAAGGGATAATGCCACAAAAACGACGAGATCAAGTCATACAACATCGCTTAAGAATAGGACATACCAGGTTAACACACCAGTACCTAATGAAGAAAGAACAACAAAAACTGTGCTATGTTTGTGATATTCCTCTGACAATCGAACACATTATTGTTAGTTGTCCACTCTATCACCTGGAACGACTTCAAAGTGATTTACCAAGTGATCTGAAATGTGCTCTGAACTATAGTAACTATGATAAAGTGTCTAAGTTTCTAAAACTAACTAAATTGTACAATCTAATATAAAAAATAGACTTAAGTTATCAATTGTAAATGGTAGTTATAAGCAAACATCTAATTTCATGTACAACTCTTTCCCGCCAATAACCTTTCATGGTTGACGCGGTTTACTTAATAAAAAAAAATGTTTAGTTTATCTGTTACACTAAAAGCTTCCCTACTAACAGGAAAATACCTAGCGAAATAACAAGAAAACAAAAACTGTTTTATTCAATTATTTAGAAATTCATTAAAAGCGACATACAATTCAGCTTTTCAGGTTTAAATCAGGTTTATGCACGTAGTTTATTTTGCTTATTAATTACCTCCGATCTTCTTTTAAGCTCCATGGATATTGCCGACGACAAACTACTGCTAGCTGCACTCGTTAGACTGGCCTTACTTGCTAAACTACTACTAGACGAACTTTTAGCTAGTCCATTCACCACACAGGGACCGTCATCTTCGTCGCTTCTATGCACTTCTACAACTACTTTACTGTCTGTTCTTTCTGGCATCTACAAGAAAATATAAGTTCATGAATAATAACCTAACAACTCATAATTTTGTAATTCATAAAGTTTGTATTTAGATATGGTAATGTGATATAACTAATATAAGTCTAAGACTGTCAAAGTAATGTTATTTTATCCGAGTATACGCCTAAAATAAGAGAAAATAATAGAAACGAGAATAATGGCAGGAAATAGATATTTCTTTGCAATGCAACATCTGATGAAGTCGAAACTTCTTTCACGAGGTGCAAAGATCCGGATATATAAGACCATAATACGACCAACAGTCGCGTATGGAAGCAAAACATGGACGATAACAAAAAGAGAAGTAAATAAATTGCTGGTATGGGAACGTGAAATTCTTCAAATGATATATGGCCCTTGCAGAAATAGCGTGACAAACGGAGTGGCAGATACAATAACGAGCTAGAATCTCTATTCGGAAAAGAAAATCTAGTCAGATATATAAAGCCAATAGACTCAGATGGGCAGGACATGTGATACGCAGTAACGACAATCGATTTATAAACAATGTGTTCTGGGAAAGGCCAGATGGAAGAAGATCTGTAGGGCGGCCCTTTTCACACAAAATGGTGGTACTTGCGCACACTGAAGATGTTCCATAAGACAAATGAAACTGATTGGGGTTATTCTATTAGTGTTAAACATATATAACGCTACCCGGTCATTCTATCTCATTTCTTAATGTGTACAAAATTATTTCCAAAAAGTTACTTTTTACCAAAAAAACTGAAATTTTAAGTCTAATGCGCAGACTGAAGATATTTTTTTTCAGCAAAAATATTTTTCAGTTTTCGTTTAGGACCCCAAATGCAACTTTTAAAACTTACCCCGTTTCGATGGGATAAAAAAATATTTTTTCAGCCCACCCTAATGACAATGTTATCGTTCCCTAAACTTACCTTGTGTTCTTCCAAATGGGAACTATTTTGTTCGAGTTTATTTGAAGCGTATTCTAAGCCATTATTTTTGATGGTAGTTCCACTTTCAGTAACATTGATAATAGTTGGCTTGTATACACTTTTTTCGGTTGGTTCCTCTTCCCAGTCTGGTAAATTCCAACTATTGGTAAAACCTACAATATAAAATGTAATTAGCTACTTGTAACAACAAAAACGAAATAAATAATAAATTGGAATTGCCTTTTAGAGCTCTTGGAGGACTCAACCTTTTCAAGTTGATATTTTATTGCCTTTTTATACCTTTTTTGCTCCTTTTTGCGAGCTATGGCGTAATCTATTTTACCTGATTTAAAAAAAATTTTATTCTAAATGATATTACCCCCTACTGGGGTCCAAATTTCGATCATTAAAAGGAAAAACGCTACAACAATCACTTGACAGTAATAATATAAACACCTTGAATACAAAAAACCCAAGAAATTTATTATACAAACAGGAGAAGCATGTGCGTTCCTATCCTACAAACATCTTTGAATTGGAAAGTCCACGCCTACTTGTACTGTAGTTATCGCTTTCCTCTTTTTATATCCTGTCCTTTTGTAACTGCCTCAACAATCTCTCTCCAAATGGAAATTAGACCATTGGATATTTTTCTCAGAAGTAAATCAAAAACTTTAATATATCCCTGGCTGTCTGCAGTTACTTAGAATGATTTTAGTTCTTCTTCTTCTTCTTTTTCTATTTATTGCTTGCATATTCGTGCAGCTGCCAGCGCATTTAGTAGTGTTGCAGTTCGTCTTGCTCTAAGCAATGCTGCAACACTAAAAAACTTATTTTTCACAAATAACTTAAATTAAAAGTTAAACTTTAAATAATTAAAAGTAAAGAGCTTTATTTTTACAGAATTTAACTACAAAATTATTTTTTATAAAGATGCTTACGATAATTTAAGATAAACTTAATATTTTTTGCACAAACTAGTTTGGTAGCATGGCCGCCACGGTATCCTCATGACTACCAAGCTCCAAGTCCGTGTAAAACGTAAAACGTTCTCGTAGACAGCTGATATCAAAATTTCAGCCTAATCGAACTTGTAGTTTTGTTTTGACAGCGTGAGAGGAGGAGTGTCCGCGAATTTTAGAAACAATGTCGGTCTGTGAAATCAAAGAGCGCTTAGATACTCAGTACGGTGACTCTTGCCCTGCGATGATAGTTGTCAAAATTTGGTATGGTTTAATGAGTTCAAACGTGGTCCGCGTGATGGATGCCATTTGCGCACTACCGATAACATGCGTAAACCGTGAGACTACGTCAGAGTAGTGTTCAACGATATTTAAGCGTAATTCGAAGAAGTTTCTACGTCGTTCCATAACCATCGACAACACATGGATAAACTGGTAAACACAAGAGACCAAAAAAGATTTAAAACAGTGGATGGCACCTGGCGAATGTGCTCCAAAGGTGGCGATGACTGTCCTATCAACAAGAAAGGTGATGACCACCTTTTTTTGGGATTCACAGCGGGTAACCTACGTCGACTACTTGAAGAAATACAAACGCTTACAGAGCACTACTACGCCGAATTATTAGGCTGATTCTTTGCCAAATTACATAAAAACAACCTAATTTGGCGAAGAAAAAATTTCACCATGAAACTAACCGGCTAATACCTGAACCATCACCATGGTGAATTTGGTCGAATTGACTTGCAAACTGTTGACTTATTATCCACCGTATTCTCCAGACTTGACCCCGTGCAACTTCTTTTTGTTTCTAAACTTGAAAACGGAACTCGCCAGGCAGAAAGATGAGAAATAAGAAGGTCATCATCGTCATGAAAGCCTACTTTGCAGACCTAAATAAAACGTATTTTTCAGACGGCTTAAAGAAGTTGGAGCATCGATGGGTCAAGGGTATTGAGCTAAAAGAAGATTTTGTTGAGAAATAAATCGTTACTTTTCCAAAATTCTTATTTTTCTTATGTAGCCCAAGTACTCGACCTGCCCTAGTATTTTTAGCAATTTAAAGCTAAAAAACCTTGCAAAAACTGTTGCGATCTCTGAGCGAGGCTTATGTTATGGCTTATCAGAATGCTTTAGCATATATAACAAATTGGGTAAAGGGAATTCTAAATGATCAAGAAAAACAGATATTGCGGAGGAAATGGAAGTGTACTGGATATTTAAAAATGGTAACTTTTTACTTGTATTAGATTTAAAAATTGATATTTTTTACTTTTGTGATAGATGAACACTAACAAATTTCAAGCCAATAGTGTAAGTGAATATTATTAGAAAAAAAAACAGTAAATCAGTTTAAAAAATTGCAAATATAATTTAATGGCACAAATGGTTGTGACAAACTGTTTTGATCAATGGTGTTACATTCTAAATTGATATTAATAAGAAATAAGACGACATTTAGAACACCATACATAACTTAGCGACAAACATAAAGCTTAGTAAAAGCCTTAAAACTACTAAAGTAAGTAGTACAAAAAACATCTGCTTACTTCTTTGATTTAACCTCTCTTCTGTATGTTGGTTTTCTTCTTTAACTATGGACAACCGTTTGGGATCTCCCCATGATGAACTCTGATCTTCAGTAACTGAACTTGCTGAACTATTGTAACCACTCGACTCGCCAGGGAATAGTTCAGAGGCTGCAGCTTTTCTTATCAGAAGGTCAAGTTGTCGAGAAGTTTTCATGAGGTTTACAGCCTGTAACAAATAAATATATAAGTACAATATGATTTGGATGAATTAATAATTTTTTATTATACATTTGTTAGAGTTTAATTTTAATAGTTTAGCGTATGGCTGTATCATAGATAAGGTATACATACAAAGATGTGGCCTTAAACAGAATAGTAACAATATTAACAAAATCTACAAAAATTTAGGTGATAAATATATTAAATTGATCCTTTCGTCGTAAGTAAGAAATCGGTTTGATTGTTACTGTAGGATCTAATAGAGTAGTTCACCTGGTGTTTGATAGCTTGCCTCTCAGCGCTAGAGACGCAGTTAGGGGAGGGTGTTTTCACCATCTGAAAAGTGAATCGGATGACCTATTAATGTTGGTATATTATTTTGATGCCTTTTTCTTTTACTGTTGATCACCAAAGTCAGCTACATTTTGCTGGCACACACATTTTTTCATCATTTAGTATCATAAGATCTGCTTCTTTGATTTTTTTTATGTCTGGTATATTTTGTTACATATCCTGTATTTTCTTTTGTAATTAACAAATCCAGAAAGAAAAATAAACTGTTGTTTTCATTTTTCATAATGAATTTGATAAATTTTTCTTTACTTTTGATATCTATCAGAAATTTAATCAATACTTGTGGTCTGTATACCTTTGTTTGTTGCAACAAAATTGCGGCTTATCCATGGACTCATCCTTATTTTCATTATTACCAGATAAATTTATATAACACGGCTAATATTTTTATATCAAACACCGATATTATTATTAAAAATATTAATATCTGTTTATCACTGAAATTTGGTCACAGTTAAACAAATTAATATTACCAAAGGATACTTTAATTCTAAAAGCTGAACTTATGGTGCCCTCTTATTTTATGTTACATATATTAAACATATATGTAACATATATGTAACAATTTATGTAACTACAGCTAATGTACTTGACACACTTTCGAACGAATTTCATCCAGAACGGGGTGTCAGACAAGGATGTATACTATCTCCACAATTATTCAACATATATGGGGAGTATAGTATGCGAAGAGCACTTGAAGGATGGGAAAAGGGCATCTCAATAAATGGTCATAAACTAAACAACCTACGTTTCGGAGATGACACAGCCCTTCTTGCAAATAGTCAAGCAGAGCTGATAGAACTTATACGACTGATCGAAAACGAAAGTCAAATATTTGGTCTGCAATTAAACATATCAAAGACAAAGATCATGATAGTAGATAGACTACACAACAATCATCCACAGATAACCACAATTGACCGGTTCGAGGTTGTGAGCTTATAATTATATCTGGGATCATTAATCACAAACACAGGGTCATTACAAGAAGAGATTAAACGTAGATGTGATTTAGCAAAAGTTGCCACAGCAAAAATGACCAAAATATGGAAGGACTGTCAAATTTCAAGAGCGATAAAGATGAGGTTGATCAACTGCTTAATATTCCCAATACTGACCTACGGATGTGAATCTTGGACTCTGAGACAATCGGAGAGAAAAAAGATAGACGCCACTGAAATGTTCTGTTGGAGACAAATGTTACGAATTCCTTGGACCGACCGTAGCACAAACAATTTAATTTTAAGAGAGCTAAAAGTTAGCCAACGACTCTCTAGTAAAGTCCATCTCCAACAATTAAAATATTTTAAGCATGTTATGAGAGCAAACACAGAAAACATGGAAAGACTCATAATACAAGGAAAGGTAGAAGGCTGAAGATCACGAGAAAGATCCCGAACAAGATGGATAGATCAAATTACAGGAATATGCCAAAGACCTATTCATGAATTAAAAGAAATGACCAGAGACAGAGATCTCTGGAGACGGACAATACACGACATCACGTCGACCACTACACTTTCCCTGGGGGGTCAGGATTGAAGAAAGAGCTAATGTACAACACAGCACTATGTTCTGCTTTTACACTAGTTTTAACAGTAGTTAGTTTTTCACTAACTCAAATGGTTTTCTTTGTTTCAGTGTTCTTTCTAATACAGTATATTAAGTAGCTGGATGGCCTCGATTTTGACATGACTACGGAGCCGTGACTACCTACCATCTTCTTGATAACGTTATCTACATCTTCCATCTCAGGTCTTCGTGGTGGTCCGCATTTTTAATATACCAAGGAGCATCAATGATGTTCCTTAATATTTTATTTTGGAATCTCTGTATGATCTGGATATTACTTGAACTGGCACATCCACACTGGTCTCAGTATTTGTTTATGTAGCAGTTGTTTTATCATTCCGTCATTAGAATTTAATCTATAATTATGAGTTTTTAGGCTTCGACGCTTTATATGTAAGAGTTTTTTTATTAAATCTAAAATGTCTTTTAGTTAAACAGTTCTTTACATATAATTGACTAAATTGTGAGATCTTCATTAGTGAAGTTAGTAGCAAATAGTGTTTCTTGACTGACAATGTTGCTCCTAGGCAACGAATTTAAAAACCGCTTTATCCTTGCTCCTTCCATTTATTCCTTGCATTTACTTAGCATCCAAATAGTAGGTAATATACAATTTACTAGTAAGGGAGCAGAAAAATTATTTTTTGATGATGACCTGGATGACTTTGCAGATGACCTGGTCATCTGCAAAGCTTAATGTGTACAAGAAGTTGTCCCGGATTGGTATTCCCATCCCTTCACATTTCCTTTTCCTGCAATAAGCTTTTGTGGTCTTAAATTCGTTGCAGTAATTATTGCCGGTTTTAACTCTTACCTTGTTGTTGTTGTAAAGGTTTTTTACGGCTTCTATTAACCTCTGAGTTATTCCGATTTCCTTCATCGTGTTCCATAGTTGTTTTCTGCGAATCGTGTCATATGCCTTTTTTAAATCTATGAATGCCATGTGCACTAGTCTATTTTTTGCCATTTTTTTTTCAATTAATTGTTGGAGTGTATATATGTGGTTTATGCAAGATCTTCCTGTCGTGAACCCCGTCTGATCTTCGATTTTATTTGAGATAGATTTTTCCAGTTTTTCTTTCAGTATTTTTCTATATAACCTGCCCATACATGCTATCACACTGATGCCTCTTTAGTTCTCGCATTTCTTCTTATCTCCCTTTTTATGTATTGAGGCTATATATGCTTTGGACCATTCACCTGGTATTTCGTTCAGGTTTATAGCGTTACTGAACATTTCGTGTAGAAATAAAATATTTTTACTAGGCCTAAATCGAAAAATACATTGTCACTACACCCACAGTATGTCTATATACAAAGATCTGGACTTATTCAGCTCCTGGCAAATTTTCTGGCAACTCCAAGTCAGTTGTTGGCCATTGGATGATAGTGTCATAGAAGGATTCATATCCAACAGTGTATTCCATCAATTTTTTTATATCATCTATCTTTTTTTTGTTGATTAAGACCTAAGACTGGAATGTCATTGAAATAGTTCAGTAGCATTGAACGTACTTCGTCAGTTTGTTTGCTTCACTTTCGTGATAGACGTACAGTTTGGAAGAATGTTTTCAAATCGTGTAACGAAAACACATTTACCCAGAGCTGCCTCATGTAAAAAACCTCATGTACAGGTATGTGCGGCAAGGGTAAGTTTTGCATAATATAGGCTAGTGCGACCGTGTTGTCATCTTTGTTTTTCCTTGGCTCATCTACAGCTTTGTAAAACTTTTTTTCTCGCCTTAAGTGTATCTTTTCTCAGCAGCTAGATTTCTTTTAGCATTATCACTCAAACACTTGTCTTTCAATTTAGCCGACTTTAGTCTTAATGGAACAATAGATAAACAAAATGAATTAAAATCCAATAACGAAACAAATACCAAATTACAAACCAAAAGGAAGAAATTGAATGCTCGTAGAATTTGAAAAGATAATATGTTTATTTTTCTAAAATGGAACATCAAACTTTTAAATACTACATGTATTATAGATTTGTGTGGGCTTTGAGTAATAAACTTTAAGGCCAAATAAACTTTAATTGATTTCTTGTACAATAGAGACTGAAATATTCTTGGAATCAAACAATGCACTATTTTTTTTAATTTCAATTTTATTAGCATTAAAACGCACGTAAAATTGATTGGCTTCGATATTGAAGCCGCCATTCAAATTGAATATATAAGGCCGTTTTTGCCTTTGTGCTTTTTTTTATTATTATTAAGAACTAGTAGCAAGTAGTAGTGTTCGTCATTTAACCTTTAAACATAATTAAGTATTAAAACAAATATTTAAACAAAAAAAAATATTAAAACAAAAATTTAAAAATCATTTATACCTATTTGCACTTTGGCTTGTCAGGTACTATTTAAAAATTTGATATATTTAAAATATATATATATATATATATATATATATATATATATATATATATATATATATTGGATTTGAAATTTCCGCGGGAGCTATATGTGATTTCAGTTGTTTTCCGGGTTTGACTCCGCGTTAAATAATTTTGATTTTTAGAAAAACCATTGTTTTGACGACGTTTCGGCAAGGTCACACTTGCCATTGTCAAGTCAGATTAGTTCTGCTTCGTCTTGATGTTTCAGGAGAACTGAGTTCTCAGTTCTCAAGACGAAGCAGAACTAATCTGACTTGACAATGGCAAGTGTGACCTTGCCGAAACGTCGTCAAAACAATGGTTTTTCTAAAAACCAAAATTAATATATATATGTATGTATATACAACTCGATCAATTTTTATCGTATATTAATTCACTTCATAGTGATATTGAATTTACAATAGAAACAGAACAAAATCAATCTATAATTTTTTTAGATTTAAAAATTATCAGATTTAAAAACAAACATGACTTCTCCATATTTCGCAAACCTACCCATACTGACACGACTATACACAATTCATCATCCCATCCAACACAACATAAACTGGCAGCATATCATAGTATGTTACATAGATTAACAGAAATTCCGATGTCAAAATACAAATTTGAGACAGAATTAAATATAATTAAGCAAATAGCAGTAAACAATGGATACAATGAACAAACAATTAATA